TTGCCAGGCGAAAACCCACCACGTCCTGGAACACTGCCACCAATCCATTGAATGGCAAATTGTAACTGGCTATGTTTCCTGTTAAAAGTCTCTTTGCTCGGTTATTCGACGTCAGGTTGCGTCCCATTTTTTCCGCTTGTTGATGCAATAACTGGTTACCTATTGCGCTCCTGGGTCCTGTCCATTGGTAGGTCGGGTACTAAACATTCCTATTGAATATGATGTGTTGATCCTTCGCAGAACCACATGAAGTCATCTCTGATTATGTGTATTTGCCGGGGAGCGAAGAATTCGTGTCCAGCTACCCTCACTGGACATCGGTGGTTGGGTGTAAATAGTTAGAGTGGAAGTGAGGCCATGGTCCAGGTAAGTACTTGTTGGTTATTTCGTCCCATCCCAGACGGAGGCAGTTCCTCAGTTCAATCCCGAAGCTCTCCGACGTTCGCGACCTCAGAGAAAAGGGAGAGAGGAACAAGCCGAGAGAAGACCGAAAAGGAACAGTCAATGTACCTAGCGTTTGATCAAACTCCTACATTAAGACATTTATTTGAGACAACTAGTGTACAATGTGTAACAGATATTACGCTAAAGATGTTTTTACTTATGCGGAAGGCATGGCCTGATGGGTAGAATACTTTCATGTGCATAGGGATGAAGAGCAGGATTCCGGTAAGATATTCAGGAGGTGTAAGCTGATAATGTTCGAATTCTACCTGAGACTAGAAAGTGGGTGTGTAGTCACGATTGGTTGTTATCGGAAACCCAAAGACAGAGACGATGTGGCCGTATTTATATATGCTCCACGGGATAAGGATTACCTAAGACACCATAACTACAATGTACATAGGTATATGAAGATAGGAAGCTGAGCATATTAGAAGCTGGCTAAGATTAAATGGATATCAAAGGAAGACTAAGTGTTGAAGGTAAGACGATCAGAAGATATCGATAATGGACCGGGTATCAGTGGCCAAGGGTGCCTGTTGGGTTAATCATTCGAGGTGCCAATGAATAACAATCGTGTCAAAGGATCGGACAGCAAACCAGCTGAGCTGGGAAAAAACTATACCAGGAGAATAAACAATCTACAGAAGGACTGACGCCTAGCGAGCTAAGGAGTATTCCCAAAGTTCCATAGAGCCTACAGCGAACAGCTGCCGCACAGCAGAGATAGTGGCTAAAGGAAAGGATGTATCAGTGGCTGATTCAACCATATCATTAAGAATTTTGACCACATGTCAAGTAAACGCGAGTAAGACAGACGACGGATAACGGCGCGCTAGGAGAGATGAGTGGCCAGCAATAGAGTTCGAAATAAGGCTTCAGCTACTAGCGGATCCTACGGTGGCACAGAATAGGTCAACAAACAGCTGAGCTGTGACGCAAACAATCAAAGAGATGAACATGGTAAGAACGGAGCGAGCTCCGGGTATCCGCAAAGTTAAGTGGAACCTATGGCTACTAGCTGCTGCTAAGCAGAGATAGTGGCTCAAGAAAAGTATGTATCAGAGGCTGGAGTAGCCATATGATTAAGAAGTTTGACCACTACTGGAAGCCTACAGTTTCAGTGAATAAAGCAACAGACGAGCGCCGATTAAAAAGACAGTCGTCAGAGGAAAAAGAAAGGTTGGAGTGTCAAGAAGTTGCTCCTTCCAGGCTACATGAGGCCAACAAAGACTAGCTACTGCCAAAGAAAATGGCACGAGATTAAGACAAAAAACGGATAACTGCGCGCTAGGAGAGAGATGAATGGCCAGCCACAGAATTCGGATTAAGGCATCAGTTACCAGTGGATCCTACGGTGGCACAGAATAGGTCAACAAACAACTAAGCTGTGACGCAAACAATCAAAGAGAATGAACATTGTAAGAAATGAGCAGCTCCTAGGGAGCTCCGGGTATCAGCAAAGTTGAATTGAGGCTATGGCGACTAGCTGCTGCTAAGCAGAGATAGTGGCTCTAGAAAAGGATTTATCAGGGGCTGGTGAAGCCATATGACATTTACAGTTTCAATGAATAGGTCAACATACGAGCGCTGAATAAAGAGACAGTCGTCAGAGGAAAAAGAAAGGTTGGAGTGTCAAGAAGTTGCTCCTTCCAGGCTACATGAGGCCAACAAAGACTAGCTACTGCCAAAGAAAATGGCACGAGATTAAGACAAAAAACGGATAACTGCGCGCTAGGAGAGAGATGAATGGCCAGCCATAGAATTCGGATTAAGGCTTCAGGAACTAGTGGATCCTACGGTTGCGCAGAATAGGTCAACAAACAACTGAGCCGTGACGCAAACAATCAAAGAGAATGAACATTGTAAGAACTGAGCAGCTCCTAGGGAGCTCCGGGTATCAGCAAAGTTGAATTGAGGCTATGGCGACTAGCTGCTGCTAAGCAGAGATACTGGCTCTAGAAAAGGATTTATCAGTGGCTGGTGAAGCCATATGAATAAGAAGTTTGACTACTACTGGATACCTACAGTTTTAATAAATAGGTCAACATACGAGCGCCGAATAAGGAGACAGACGTCAGAGGAAAAGAAAGCTGGAGTGTCAAGTAGTTGCTCTTTGTAGGTTTCATTGGTCTAACCATGACTTGCTACTGCTCTAACCTTGTGCCCACTCGCAAAACCCTCTCCAATTCCATTTTTTCCCTCACAAGACAAGGTGCACAAGCCTGGATACATACTCTAAGTGGGGTCAAAATAAAGCTGAGAACAGCTTCACAAAAATATTGGTCGTTAGGACAGCGAAGGAGCGGCGAATAGACCACATCACACGGCAACCCCTACAAGCAGCTTTCCTCCAATTTTCCCCAGAGTGAAGCAGTGAGGTCCAGGTGATACCTAGATCAACCTGTTGAATGACAACAGGGAGTTCACTTCCACCAATTACATAGCGCTTGGGAGGACTAGCACCTCCAATGCGGAGGACAGAACATTTCGCCTGATTTATGGGCATCAACCATAAGGTTGATCAATCCCAGAGCCTATCCAAGGCGCTCTGAGGTGCCTCAAAGCCACTAGGGATATCCACAATATTCCTGAGCTTGTGATCATCAGCAAACAATAGCGACGGTACTTCAAGCTCCAGAGGTAGGCCAGTTACGTAAATTGCGGAAAGCAACGGCTTTAGAACCGAGCCCTGCGGAACGCCACCAAGAACAGCTTGTCTAAGCGGTAGGCTACGTCCCACGCGTACACACTGTTCTCTCCCCTCTAGGAAAGAAGAAACCTATTTAAGGGCGGCTGCAGATATCCCATACGATCTCAACTTCATTGGGAGTCTTTTATATAAGACAGCATCAACGTCTTTCGAGAAGTCAACGAAAAGCTCGTCGATGGCTTGACCGTTTTCTACTGTCTCAGCTCAGCTATCACGAGCTACAAGTAAATTTTTCAGACAAGAAAATCCCTTACGGAATCCGTGATGGGCAGTCCTGAGAAGGTTAACCTTATCAGGTGATTCTCCACCAAATCCCTGACCAATTTTTCAAACAACTTAACTACTACACTTGTTAAGTTGACAGGCCGGTAGTTCGCAAGCAGAGCTTTGTCCCTGCCCTTGAAAATCGGACAGATGATTGCTTTCTTCCATTCTGAAGGTAAGGCACAACTGTCGAGTGATATTGCAAACATGCATGTCAGAGGGCTACTTAGCTCAGCGGCCAATTCATGCACCAGCTTGGGCTGAATTGAATCAGGGCCAGAAGCTTTGGAAAGATTTAGCCTTTGCAATAGCCCGAAGACTTGTTTTGCGGTTATGATTATTTCAGTTGGGCAAGAATCCTCCGGAACTTTTGTGACCAGCTCAACCTGAAGTAGAGTGGCCTCATGAGAAAAGACACCACTATACTGTTCGCTAAGTATACAAACGCTATCATAGTCGGTATGCTCACGGGTCCCGTCCGCGCGTAGTAAAGCCCGTATAGATGAGTTTGTACCGCTACGTCTCTTTACGTAAGCAAAGAACTTCTTTGGATTTGTTACGGCTGCGTTAGCTTAATCCTTCTAGTACTGAATACGAAGAGTTCTAAGATGATGCTAACATTTATTTCTAACCTGTCGGTAGCTTTCGTAGGTGCTGGTTGATGAAGCCGCTTGGTAAGTTCACCACCACTTAGAGCGCTTCCCCAGCAGGTGTTTACCTGTTTGATCTATCCATGAAGGCTGCGTACGTGTCACCCTTCTCTTATTGCGTGGGATGTGGGGAGCGGAAAGCTCGGTGCGGTATGCCTTAAATGTCTCCCAGGCTGTCTCAACAGTGTCAGCCACGGTGATCGCGCATTGCGTTAAAGTCTGCTCGCCAAATATTTGGACACGCCTTAGCGGCAGCTTGATGACACTTCATTAGAGCACATGGAAAGTATATGCAGACATGGTCACTGGATCCCAGAGGACCGTCGTAGGTAATAGCACCTGCGAAATCGTGTGACTGCGCAAAAATGAGATCCAAGGTAGACGGAATTTGGCTGCGCATATATCTAGTCGGAAGGTCCACGAACTGATGCAAAGACAGTTGCAATGTTAGCTCAATGAGACCCCAAACGAAAGTGCCCAACGCCGCACTGCAAGATAGATCAGCCCAGCAGACTTCAGGGAGGTTGAAGTCACCCATTATTAGACGCCGATTGGCAGCCTAAGTACGAATAAAATCAATAACCCCCTGGAGATATTTCCAGGACTGCGAAATACCACTACAACTGTATACTGAGCAGAGAAAGCGCACACAATAGTCGAGAGGGCTACAACAGTTTGATCCGGTGACTGGAACACACTGCTCCTCAACACATCAAGTTTACAACTCACCTAAAGAGCGACGCCCCTCTCTTGGCGGCCAACGGAGTGATCGTATCTATGCATTGTGTAGCCAGGAAAACATACTTCACCGTCTGTGATATCCGGGGACAGCCAAGTTTCGGCGATAGCAAATATGTCGGGACGAGATTTGTCTACAAGTAGACCAACCTAGTGTACCTTGTTCCTTAGGCTACGCACAAAACTAAGCACTAGCCGAATGAACTCGGCACGACCAGCCCTGAGTCGTACGCTAGCAGGAGAGGTTCTGGTAGGGCAGAATTTGACTTCCGGCTGACCACCTGAAAACCCACAAGACGAAGGCCTTGCTTCCCAGCCGCCCGCCTGCATTTGAGGCTTTTGCTGGCTTCCTTTAACTTCAGTCGATCTGCCAGTGGGAGGTCCGGCTGAACGCTGACATTACTACCCCTGAGTTTGAAAGCAAAGCGCATTAACGCTTTGGGTTCCTCCGGGTTTGAGAGGACTACACGAAGCAGTCGGAGTTGCGGATTTGGCATGTCTACAGAGATGTTCCACAATCTGGTTAGTTTCCTGATAGTGAAACCGGAGAAACCAGATGGAAACACCTTGTTCACGCAGAGCTTGAACCACTGGAGGTCATCCAGCATGCGCTCCTTTGGAAGAGCTGCCGCGGATTCAGCAACGTAACGAAAGATAACGCCACTATCAGTAAAAGTATCACCTCGACGAGGCGTATTCACTCCACGCGTCTTCGACGCGAACCCAGTTTTGACCGGTTTGGCAGATGACACGGCGCGTTTCTTCGCCAAGTGAGCTGGAGTAATTGAGGTTGTGGCTTTATTCTCTGCCTCCAACTCCCTCACGGGTCTAGTCTTTTTAGACTTTGCGGTTGTGGCCGAAGTCGACATCGCGCGTTATTCGCCGATGGAACTGGGGTGATTGAAGTTGGTTTTGTGTTCCAACTCCAATACCTTAATGCTTTCAGTAATTTCAGGCTTTGAGGCAGGCTTACGGACTTTCTTAGCCCTCTTCCTCTTGCTTTTATTGTGCCCAGGGGCCTATAGTTCGGTCTCGCTTGGGACGGCTTACGGTACGACATCAGAGGCCCCTTTAGAGGCATTCTGGACCTCGGGGACACACGACACGGTAGCCAACACATCAGTCGGAATTTCTTCGACAGCAGTTGAGGTTAGTGGCGTGTCTTCCTCCAATGAGCCGACATCAATAGAGACTCCCATATTCCTCATCAGTAACTCCACTTTCAGACCAAAAGATATGAGGAAAGACCACAACTGCTGGTTACCCAGCCCGACGTTGCTCAATGTCTCTTCGGTGATCTAGACGCTTAGATCCACGGCGACGGCATAGAAGCGAATTGAACAGCACGCTACCGCTAGTCGAAAGCATTGCGTACTGATCACGGCTCCAATCGCTACCGGTTCCATGGTACATACAGTTGCATACATGGCACTGCCAGCCGCCAGACTCGCCCGGCACGGCCTTTGAGCAGCTCCCTCTGCCCCATACGGCGTTAGATTCGCTGATCAATGCAGCCGAATACACATTAGTGTTGATGTTCAGTGAATCGGGCATGACTTTTTCAACAAGTGTTAAACAAGTATCAAAAGGTAAAACCGACAAAGTGTTACCTGCATTTCAGTCAACAGGAACAGTTATAGGTTGAACAAATAAAGAAATAAATGTTTTATTCTCTGTAAAACGAGACACATCTCTAGAGGCGTGACCAAATATGCATACAAGCATAGCCTCTTTGGAATATTAAGACAATTCGTTTTAATGAAAGGAATAAAAGAAAAGTTTTAGTCCATATGAGCGAGCATATTGTCAGGAAATAGTCAGATCAAGAACCATGATGGCGCTGTGGCGCGCAAAATACTGTTGCGTCAAGACACAAGTTGGGGGTAAATTTGCCATGTAGTGATCTATGAGCACAGGAGCCCAAACAAGGTTTTTGTGCAATCAATGACCATTACGAAACCCGGATGATCTGTGCTCCATTAAAGCTAACTTCATAGTAAAATCAGTTGCACAGGTTGGATGTAGAAGGCTGAGGACTGCGTCAGTGTGAAAGGATTAGCTGTGACTTTATTTTGTGGCGAGTTACATCCGCCACGTTGCAGTGTTGTTAAGCGGACATTTGTGGCTTGTTATAGGGAGAACGCTTGCCAGGCGAAAACCCACCACTTAGTGGAACACTGCCGTAGCTTCCGTTGAACTGTAGTGCTAGTCGGCTATGCATCGTTTAGACCGATTTTGCGCTCTATTATTCGTAGTCGGTTGACAGCCAAACTTCTTCGTTGGTTGGCCAAATGACTTAGTAATTATCCGGCATTAGTCCTTGAAGCCGTTTAAGGATACAAATAATCGCAACATCGAATGATAATGATGTAGGTGAGTAAACACATTGTTAATAGAGGCCGGCTTCTTCTATTATGTTCTTGTCCGGCTCGCAACTCGTGTCCCGCTATCCATGCTGGACTTGTCATAGTGACGGCAAGTGAAGTTGTTTCTTGTGTCTTAATATGTCCATAACAGGAAAAAGTGCACTTCTCGGCAAAGCAAAATAGTAATTCCTTCAGATGTAAGTGTAATTGTCTCCATGTCCAAGTGAAAACTCCATGAAGTTCATCGGAAAGTTGCTTGTAAGCGCGCGCTGCTGTCCGTGAAATGACATCAGGCAAGCTCCAGGTGACTGGAGAATCGGAATGTTTGAGGCAGTGAAGGTAATCACGCCAGAATTGTCTGTCTTCGGTTTTCGAACGGGGGATCCATGTAAGTATATTATTCCAGGTGAGAAAATTGTTCTACTGTGAGTACGAGGCGAGCTAAACCCATTTGTTTAGACCCCGAGGTGGTAGCTTCTCCAGAATGGCGAAAAGAGCTCCATTTGGAACGATGTGTGGGCTTTCATCTCCCAGAGAAAATATCAAGCTTTTAAACCATCTGGCCATTGAGAGTGGGTCGATCAGTCTCAGCGGATCAACCATCTTGCGTTGGCGGATGCAACTGTGGAAATCTCGGGGGAAAAGGGGCCACGGACAAGAGGGGGCCAAATAGCAATGAATCAAGAAGCACAAACACAGACTGGTGGCGCGCCACGGTGCCTATGATACGTTAAAACTTATGTACTTTTGTTTAGTATACATGAGTTGCAAGCGCGTTCTTTACATCACTTCGCCGGTGTGACTCAGACTACAACTACTAGGCAGGAGAAAGGATCTGCACGCGCAGGGTCAAAAGACGGATGTAACAAAGCGTATTGACAATGGTAAGCGATTAATACGATTGTTGGAGAGAAACAGGTAAACCGATGATGATGAGAGCAGTCCGAATGCGAGAGGCATCTTAGGGGAAACTAAGGACAACTAGGTTGAGACCGAATGCTGGAGTAACAAAGGTAATGCAACGTTCAGAGAAGAAAAGGAAATTTGAAGAATCAGCTATGAGCAAATGAATGCGGACGGCAGGGCGAAGAGTAATTTGTGAGAGTAATTAGGAGACGATAGTCAGGATGAAAAAGGTTAACTGCTAAAGTGTGGTGAAGCCAAGGACGCTCTCGTGCGAAGCATGAATCGTTCAGTTCTGAAAAATCACCGGTGATATCCCGGTAGTCTGAGAGAACTCTGAGAGCCGGAGACCGAACAGACGAGACGTGAATAGTCGACATATCCGGAGGCCTCTAGTAGCCCCAGAAAATTTCACCGTTCAGATGACCACAAAGAAGGGCATGGCACTAAGCGTTGGTCGTCCGACTGAAGAAGGTGTGAGGGTACTATTACTGATGGAAGTGTCTATATGATTAAAGGGTAAACAATTCTACCGGGCGGTAAACGTAAGCAAGACATAGTTTTGAGTCTACAGAGATTGGATCGATATAACTTGCTAGTCTGGAAAAGGTCAAAGGAGCATACCGGTCAGGTTAAACTAGGTTATTACAGGGCACTGAGAGTTAGCAGTCCGATTATAGAAGAAATGAAAGTAGAGAGCGCAATAAGGATAGAAAGAGGTTTACTTATAAGGAGTGGAAAAGTCCATGGGACTCGAGAGGTAATGGAGACAGAGCGTCCGGTCTTCTCATCAAATGCCGGTAAGGTCACAGCAGTCTGAGTGCATTCGGAGAGCAAGGGACCGATCAGACGTGACTCGATTAGTCGGCACTTTGAGAGTAAGTCTAAAAGTTAAGGTGGGAAGATAAATAAAGTGTCAGCAGAGACGGATAAGTTTGGGATGCAAGAGGCTAAATGAATATAAGGTATGCATGTCAGGCGGGCTCGCAATGTGAGAGAAGTAGTGTGTTGGTAAAGCAGAGCCTAAAACTACATTTCGCTAGTTAGGAAGCAGTCAAGGAGGATAATAGGGCTGAGAGCTCGCTCTCCGGTTTAAGCAGAAATAAAGACAGAGCGCGATAAAAAGAAGAGAGAGTCGAGCGTTTACGTTAACGGATATGAAATGCGACAGTTAACGAGGCTCTAGAGGTAATGGTGACTGAGCATTCAGTCTTCCGAGCATGGCAAGCAGCGTCGCAGAAGTAGGAGAGAAGACCGATCAGCCGAGATTGGTGCAAAAGGAATATAAAACACAAAAATACAGGAAAATAGCCAGAAAATGAACCCGGAAAAGATGGACGACATTGGTAAGCACTCGAAAAGGGGTACGTCGTAATCAGGGGAAAACGATGATCCATAATTCTTGGGACCAAGCGAAATTTGACAAGTCAAATACTTTGCAAGACACTTGTAAGCACTGTTTCGGAACTGTCTTTTGATAGTAAAACATCAAAAAGACAGCACGCTCTGTAATGGAGTTCCTGGAATGGGGTACCGGCGGGAGCTGGAAAACGGGCACGGAACGAATAAACGGCGGTAGAAAGCAGCACGGTCAATCACAGCGGACACACGACGCGAGAAGTCCACACAGCAACCGGGCACTCACAGAATCGCAATGCGCAAGCGTGACACGGGCAAAACGAGCAGACACGGAGGAAGCACGTTTATCCACAACAGGGAAAACAGAGGAGTGTACATGACCTTGATAAGACAATAAAAACAAAAAGGGAATGTCAGAGTTTTGGGGTCGGTAAAGTGCCTTCGCACGTTTTCATATATCTGCGGTTTCGCGAGAATCTGCAAATGAAAGAGAAAAGAAAGAGATCATTTAAGTAGTCTTTAAAACGACCCATGGCGGTTTCGATTTCGTTACACCACTCCCCCTTCCGGCGAAGACACTGTCCTCAGTGTCTCAGTGCCCTGAATACTGACCGAGCCGCCTTCGGGGGTATCTCCACAGTGTGTTCCACGATCGGGAGGCATCCGGGTGGGACGACTTCCTCCTTCGGAGTAGAGGCTGAAGATCCCGCTGGTTTCAGCTGATTGTAATGCACGGTCAGAACGTCGGAATTTGGTTGAGCGACATCTCGGACGACATACACCGTGGGTGAACGGACGAACACAATCTCGTATGGCCCTTGCCACTGTCGGTGAAACTTCGCTGCTGCGCCAGGCGGAGGTCTTGGGCGGTGCAACCATACGCGAGCTCTAATGTGATATTCAAGGACCCTACTGTGCCGATCATAACATACTTTCTGACGATGCTGTGCTATCCTTGCGTGTTCTCCCGCACACAGAAAGGCTGATCGAAGACGTTCGCCAAGCTGTCGTACGTAGTCTAACAGAGAACAAGCCTCGATTGGAGGAATAGGGGATATCAGCTCCAGAGGCAAACGAAGCTCGTGACCAAATGTCAGGAAGGCTGGAGAATACCCCGTGGTTGCATGCACAGACGCTCGATACGCCATCATGCATTGTGGAATAGCTTCGTCCCATCGATCTGACTGGTGCCACTCCAGGAAACTCTGCAAAATCCCTTGTATAGTTCGGTTGGTGCGCTCTACTAATCCATTCCCTTGTGGATGATACGATGTGGTACGTGTCTTCCTCACCGAGAGCAGCCGACACACCTCCTGAAGCAGGTGACTCTCGAAGACGGCGCCTTGATCTGAATGCAGTGACAGCGGTGCTCCATAGCGGGCAATCCACTCATTTACGATGGCTGACGCAACCGTTGCCGCATCCGGATTTTTGATATGTATGGCCTCGCACCATTTCGTAAAATAATCTATAAGAACAAGGAGGTGGCGGTTCCCGTTCCTTGTGACTGGCAAAGGCCCCATTAGATCGACTCCGACTCGCTGACCTGGGGACGTGGCCACTATCGGTTCCAATGGGGCCCGGGATAGGGGGTCTTCGATTTGATAGCGGCACAAATATCGCAGGCGTTACATAGCTTCACGACGTCGGCGTGGATTCCTGGCCACCAATACCGTTGACGTATGGCTGTCTCCGTCTTTAGTTGGTCAGCGTGACCTAACTGCTGCTGGACTGCTTGTAGTACGCCCGGCACTCTCGACATAGGAGTAATCACTTTCGGGCCCAGGTCATCCATGAGGAACAGCGTCCCACCAATGATTCTTGGGCGGCTCCAGTGGTCCCATAGTGAGCGTTCGTCTTTTGAACGGGATTGCATTTCCGTACCCGATGGTTTAGACGATCCTTCCACTTGCCGAATATAAATGTTAGATATATATGGGTCCTGGGCTTGATCCTCTGACCATGTTGTATCAGTTTCCGAGTGGTGTAGAACTGCGTTTATTTCGTCCAGAGAGGGAATTCGAGAAGGGGCATCTGCGTTGGCATGCCGTGCTCCCAACCGGTACTCACAGGTAAAATCGTACTGCTGTAGACGTTCTTGCCACCGCGCGACTTGTCCCTCCGGGTCACGGAAGTTTTGTAACCATTGCAGAGATTGATGGTCAGTCCGCACAAGGAAAGGTTTTCCGAGTAAATATGGTCGAAAATACTTCAAGAAATACACCAAGGCCAACATCTCACTTCTCGTTGTGCTATACTTACGCTCTCGCTTGTCCAGTCGGCGGCTAGCATAAAAGATCACGGTTTCCCCAATAGAAGTTTTCTGCGACAAAACAGCGCCAATCGCCTCGTTACTGGCGTCGGTGTCTAGGACAAAAGACCCAGCTCGTTCGGAAGTATCCGGGAGACCTAACAGCGGTGGCGACGTGAGGCATTCTTTCAGTCGTCCGAAAGCGCTGGCACACTCGTCTGTCCAACCAAACTTCCGTCCCTTTTCCGTCAGGCGATGTAACGGCGCCGAGATCGAAGCAAAATTGCGCACAAACCTCCGGTAATAAGATGCCAGCCCCAAAAAACTACGCAATTCATCAACTGATCTGGGTTGTGGCCACGGCCTTATCCGTTCGCACTTGTCGGGGTCGGTTTGAATGCCGTCTGGCTTTATTACGTGTCCCAAAAAGTTAGGCTGCTCGCGGAGAAAACGGCACTTCCGTCCATTCAACTTTAATCCAGCCTGCCTTAACCGCTCCAAAACTGTACGTAGACGGGTGTTGTGCTCTTCGACCGACCTACCATACACTATCACATCATCCAAATATATCAAACACTCCTTGGGTACGAGGCCCTCCAATACTTTCTGCATCAGGCGCTGGAAGGTGGCTGGAACATTAGCTAACCCGAGGGGCATGGTCTCGAATTCATACAGCCCGGATGGTACAATGAACGCGGTTTTCTCCCTATCGGACGGACGGACCTCCACTTGCCAATACCCGGCGGCCAAATCGAGAGTAGTAAACCATCGCGCACCATGAAGAGCATCAAATGTGGCGTCAATGCGAGGGAGGGGCAAGGAGTCTTTACGGGTAACTTCGTTTAGCTTTCGGTAATCTACACAAAGTCGCAGAGAACCATCCTTCTTCTTCACGAGTACGATAGGAGACGACCAAGGCGATGTCGATGGGCGAATAACGCGCATATCAAGCATCTCCTGGATCATGCGATCTAGCTAGGCTTCGTAATGAATGGGCGTTCTTCACGCCCGCTGGCGAATAGGATGCTGACTCCCTGTATCAATTTCGTGTTGGATGACGTTGGCGCGCCCAAATTGAGTGTCGCAAAACTGATCCTCATAATTACGCAGCATAGAGAGAAGTGAGGCATTTGAGTCTGGGGAAATTCCACTGTGGTTACGCAAAGGCTCAATGACATCAGTCTCGAACTGTGATGGTTTCTAGGTGGCTTCTAAAACTGTGCAAACTCCCCGTGTGTGACACAGCTGCGTGTTGACAGGAGTGGACTTTGGTAATAGATTCGCGGTACCAAGCTGCAGCAAGCCTCCATGCTTAGCCAAAAATCCATCCCTAGGATGGCGTCCCAACTTAGGTTACGACAAACTAGAAACTCGTGTACTGCAGTAACATGTTCCAGTTGGACTTGAGCCAGCACTGCGAATTCGACGGGCAACGCAGCCCCGTTGGCCGTTAACACTCGTGGCCTTCTCTGAGTAGTGGCGGGGTGACCCCCGAGGCGGTCGGCTATTTCTAGACGCAACAACGAACGTGACGCACCGGTGTCAAGTAAGAACTGGATGTTATAACCATTGAAGTAGCCAACGGTGGTTAAAGGTTGAAACGGAGCATTACGAACAAAAGTGGACGCAAGGAAGCCGGATGGATGAAGACGTGACTTACCTTGCGAACGTCGCGGCTTGATCGGTGGGTTATGTCCGCAAAATTGCGCACGATTTCCAAAGCGACGGCAGTACCAACAATCGCGCCTGGACGAAGTGGAGTTGAAGTTAGATGCTCTGCTGTCGGAAATGGACACGTTTCTCAGTGCCGAACGCAAAGTGGCCTGTCCATACTCGTGGCGATCGTCCATTGAATTCAAGGACTCGCGAAACTGTGCCTTGTTCACGGCATCCGTGAAACTGCAGCGCAGCATCCCAGCTTGTTGGTGACGTAGGGACCCGTCGTGCAACCCGGTGCAAAAACGCTCAGACAGCCACTTATCCCGCTCGGCGTTGGAGAGATGGGGAAACGCTCTCAAGGAGAGCTCCTGAAGTGAGCGCGCGAACGCTTCGACCGTTTCTCCCGACTGTTGGGTACGAGCAGCGAATTTCTGTCTATACAGAACTGCGGCTTCCTGTTTCCGAAACAGTCCGCGCAGTGATTCCCATATTTCTGAAGCTGGCGCCGTTGGAGGGATTCCAGTTGCGCGGAAGAGGCGCGTGGCTTCCTCGCTCAAAAAACTGAGAACGTAAGGGCCCACGTGCTTTTCGGGAATACTGGAAAGGTATAAGGATACATGAAACTCCCAATTGTCAAAATCATCCCCAGGCCGAAATACTGGGGGTTGCCTCGGCACAGGTCGAAAATCCGAAAAATCCTGGGTAACAACACGAAGTTGCGATTTCATTTTTGGGGGGCTGACTTTTTCCTTCTCCATTGCGATCCCACCTCTGACACCAAATGTAACGGAGTTCCTGGAATGGGGTACCGGCGGGAGCTGGAAAACGGGCACGGAACGAATCAACGGCGGTAGAAAGCAGCACGGTCAATCACAGCGGACACACGACGCGAGAAGCCCACACAGCAACCGGGCACTCACAGAATCGCAATACGCAAGCGTGACACGGGCAAAACGAGCAGACACGGAAGAAGCACGTTTATCCACCTCAGGAAAAACGGAGGTGTACAGGACCTTGATAAGTCAATCAAAACAAAAAGGGAATGTCAGAGTTTTTGGGTCGGTAAAGTGCCTTCGCACGTTTTCATATATCTGCGGTTTCTCGAGAATCTGCAAATGAAAGAGAAAAGAAAGAGATCATTTAAGTAGTCTTTAAAACGACCCATGGCGGTTTCGATTTCGTTACAGGGGAAAACGATGATCCATAATTCTTTGGATCAAGCGAAATTTGACAAGTCAAATATTTTGCAAGACACTTGTAAGCACTGTTCCGGAACTGTCTTTTGATAGTAAAACATCAAAAAGACAGCACGCTCATAAATTTCAATTTACCGCCAAGTATGTTTGGACATAAGGGCAAAATTTTACGAAAGGAGGAGTTAACTTCTGGAGTAAACTTCCTTCTGAGTTAGTGGAGTGTGAATCTGTAGAAGCCTTCAAAAGGGGATTAGATGATTGCTGGTCTATCATTTTCCAGAGATATTATAGTTGTACTGGAATATGTAGTGTATTTTGATGTGGACACATTAATGCCCAAAGATTGTTCTTGTTGTTGCTTCATTCCTTTGCAGAAGGAAGAAGTCAATCCAACGACGAAGTGCCGGGGGCCGCCCCACTTACCGGCACAGAAAACTGGACGCTCGTTAGGCGAAAGCCTCCATCATCCGTTTGACCTGACCTGACCTAGACAACCTAGTACCCCGAGCGTCTACTTAGTTTGAGAATGCATTCGATGCGGGAAGGGCTAATTTTCTTAATGGCGGGAAGGGTTTCGCTTCCATTGTCCTCGGTAACATCCAAGATAGTTTGAGTGGTTGCAGAGTATATTCCTAATTGTGGTGGTAATAAGGTGTGGGAAATAGCAGATAACGCTATATGGATTAGCTTCGTGAAAACGGTTATGATAAATTAAATTAATGACTACAGGTGTAGTTGAAGTTCCCGGCATAATAGAAAGCACGCAAATGGTAAATAAAAGTGAAGTGTGAAAGGCTGTTTTATGGTGCAAATGTGCGTTAATGCAATTGTTTCATGTATGTAAAGGTTATGCTTGCAGTAACTTACTTGCTTGGATTGGGGATATATATATATATATTGTATATAGGGTATATAGGGTTCCGTATGATGTGGTTTATTCGCCGCTCCTTCGGTGTCCTAACGGCCAATATCTTTGTGAAGCTGTTCTCAGCTATCGTGCGACCTCATTTAGAGTACTGTATCCAGGCTTGCCCACCTTGTCTTGTAAGGGACAAAATGGAACTGGAGAGGGTTTTGCGAGTGGGTACAAGGTTAGTGCAAGGATTACGGGGGCAAACGTATCCCGAACGTTT